AGGTGCCATGGATCAATGCTTGATCCCACAGTACTTGACTGAAAAATATTCAGCCAACAATGTGGCATAACTATATGTTGCCTTCATAGATCTTAATGCAACCTTTGATTCTGTATTCACAATCAAACTATGGAAGAAGCTGGAACCCTCATCAATTGACTATGGTCTTTTCTACTTAATCCAAGTCCTGCACACTAAAATTAGTTGTAAGATCAAACACAATACGCAAGGATTTCTCTTAAAGCCAGTTAAAACTCAAAGGGGATCAATCAGGGACTCATTTATTTCCTCCCCCCCACCCCCGCTTTTCAACTTTTATATCAATAGTTTGGTGAGATGCCCAAACAATTCAAATGTACATTCCCCCCTCCCCCAAGTATGAGATGACAGCATAGTTCTGCTGTTCTATGTAGACAATACTCTAGTTATTTCCAGAGCACCAATAAGTTTTTTTAAAGATCTGAAGCACTGGCCCAATACTACAAAAATAATGATCTGCAAATAAAATATCAGAAAACCAGGATTAGGCATTTGCCAAAAGACCAAAACTCCATTCATGGAGCATTATTGGTTATAGGACAGGACAAGTAAACTACTTCGAGTATTTAGAAATAGTTATGCATGCCATCAGTTTAAAGAAAGCAGTTGTGACTATGTCCTTGGACAACGATCTGTCAGTGTAAATTTTATCACCCCAGGCTTTTTAGGCTAGGACGCCAGCCCAGTTTTTCTATGGAACTTTGGTAGGTCTTCCAGTTCTTGGTTTGCCACCTTGGAAGGGGTACAATCAGAATTCATCAGAGCAGCTCTCCAATTAACTTGCTGTGTCTCAATGTCAGGTATGATAAAAGTTGAGATGAGTGTGTCTTGCTTCCACAAACCTTTGGTTAAAGGTTAATTTTTACCCTCAAGGCCTAGTACCATTAATTCTTCAGGACAATTTTAAGTCTATCTGGATTAAGCTTGTTGAATCTAAACTTCTACATCTGGGCTTCTTTCTGTGCTTCTCTCCTTCCTTAGTTGTTAAGATATATGGACAGGTGAAACAAATCCTGACATACAGAATAAAATATATGGACCATTAGGTAGACCAGTGGTGGCGAACCTATGGCACACGTGCCAGAGGCGACACTCAGAGCCCTCTTTGTTGGCACACGTGCACCTGCCAGCAGCAGGTGCATCAGGCCACCATTGCCGCCTGGAGAAGGAGCCCCGCCCAGCACAAAGGAAATGAAGCGGCCGACTAGCAAGCTCATTGTTGATTGGTGGACTGGAAGAAAAGGGAGGGGGAAGCATTTTACATGCATGAATATGTGCATGGGGCTGCGAGCACATACGTGCTGCAAATGGGGCAGGACTAGTGTCTGCGTGATAATAGCTCTGCTCCGTTCTTGCATGGTGCAGTGCCTTGTATCTCACCCTATGGCACGGCCATTTTTGCGCCTTGCAGCATGGTGCCCCATTTTTGCGCCCCCAGTTTTTGCGTGCCAGAGGCGGCACTCAGAGGCGCCTCCCTGCCCCCCCCCCTGAGGGCACCACAATGCTGATGTGGCCTTGGCACTTTGCGATAAATAAGTGGGTTTTGGGTTGCGGTTTGGGCACTCAGTCTCTAAAAAATCCGCCATCACTGTGATAGACCTAAGGAAGCCTTCCTGTCATTAGTCCACTACAGATGCTGCCAGCTACTTAACACAGCTAGAAATACCCAGCCATCAGAAAGCTTTCTCTCTTGCCCAATTTCATGCTCTCCCCCTGCAGTATGGGAAGGCAAATATAAAAAGTACCATTAGCTGAAAGGCTTTGCCCCGTGATTCTGGAGAGGTAAAAACCATAGAGTATGTTCTTTTTTGTTGCTCTTCATCCAGATTTATCCTCCCTCTGATTAGTAGATATCTTGGTTTCTCAGACCTATGTCCTGATACTGTTTATAGATGAATTGCCTTTTATTATCTAGTGCATGTGGGTAGGTTTTGTGCAACAGAATGGAAAAACCCCTGGACCCTTGCAGATGAATTTCCTGCCAAATAATAGATTGTTTCTAGCTTGTATCAAACTGGCTGTCCTGTTTTTGCTTGCAGCCAGATAATGGTCTTCAAAAGTTTTGTTCAAAAAAGCCTACATTGATATTTTATTTTTTTTAGTTTTCATCAATTAGAAATCCCAAGTCTAAATCTGCTGGGTTTCTGCCTATACAGAAGAAGAATGAAAATTAAGAGAAGGAACCAGCTTCTACTTTAAAATTACTGGTGTTCAGGAAGTAATTCTTCGGTAGCTGACTAGAGTGTGTTATTGTTTTCACATTTGATGAAGGATCAGTTAAACCTTCAGTTTCCTCACAGCTGTAAATCAACTTTTTTACATTATGCTCAGAGATATTACCTGAACCTCAATTTTGTCTGAACAAAGTATTATTCATTCCAAATATGGGCCACTCCAACTTTAACTTAACTCCAACTTCTAGGCTTCCTATCTTTGGACTTTCATTACAGTGCACTTTACACCTTTCACAAATTTGCAGGGAGAGGGAGAATAAAATAAAAATATACCAATTGGCATACCAAAGAAAGAGACTGAGTGTAAGGACCCACCCCACTTTGCATCTTAAGAAGACAGAACTCTTGGAATAATTCTTCCAACAGGAATCCTTTATTAAGAGAAGTGAGACTTCAGATAACTACATGAAAGGCAAATACTCTCCTTTGGCTAGGGTAGCTGGCATCCCCCCTGCTATGGATCCATCTAGCTGGCCAAATGAGATTGGTTGTTCCAGTCTCCTGGATGGGATGCCCAGATTCCCCACTAGTGTTGGGCTAATAAGGCAGCGGGTGCAGCCAGAGTCTATTAAGGCTTTCACCTTCACAGCTTCGGGCATGGGGGGGATTAATATAGTCACTGTTTTGAAGATGGGTGTGATGCATCCACTTACCAGGGGTTCGCCCTCCGAGCTGTCATCTGAGGCATCCACCGTCCCTGTGGTGTAGGCTGGAGTTCTTTCCCCTTGGTGAGCAGAGGTGGGGGTTTCTGCAATTTCCATCATTCTCATGGCTGTTTCTTTTGGCTTACCTGAATACTCTCTGGGTTTGTTGATTGGGGATCTGTCTGGGTTGTGCTGGGGGGCCTTTGAGCGGCATTCTACAGCTCGATGCCCTTCTCTTCCGCACTTGAAACACCCCATTTGCTTCTTGGCTGTATCCGATGATTTCACCGGTGGGTGTGTCAGCTCAGGCGGGGGGCGGCTCCATTGTTTTCTTCGGCGGTGCCTCTTCAATATGTCGATCTCTGCTTCCTCTGCCAAGACGTACCATTCCTCAAGTCGATGTGGGTCCCCTCGGGGCAGGCAAGCATCATATAGATCATAGTTTAGTCCGTCTTTGAAATGGCCAAGGAGGATGTCTTCTGGCCAATTCAGTTTGCTGGCAATGGCCCGGAATTCTTGTGTATACTCGGCCACTGGGCGTTTGCCCTGCCTCATCGTTGTTATTCTTTCACGGGCTTTGCGATCAGCCAGGGGGTCTTCAAATCGTCTTCTCAAAGAGGACATGAAACGGTTGAAGTTACTGAGTTCTGGGGCATTGGAGTCATGCAAGTTCACTACCCAATCCGCAGCTGGTCCATCCAGGGCAGATTGCACGATCCGGATGCGGGCTTTGTCGCTGGGAATGTCCTGCCCATATTCCTCCATGTAGCTGAGGACTTGGGTTAGGAAAAACCCCAAGCGTGTTGGCTCCCCTTTGAATTTCACATCCAACGGTGGACGTCTTGGAATGGATCGGTGCCTCCGTTGTGGGTGGTAGTGTCTTCCGTCCAGATTGCCATCTGTGGTCCGGTAGGGGGTGGGGGCTCCTGGATCAGTAGATGTCCCTGGGGTTGCAGGTTCCACGTCCCCCTCGGTGTCTCTCCCTTTGTGGCTCCAGGAACTGGGGCGGCCGTAGGGCTCAGTATTCTCCTCTCCTAGGGAGCTGAGAGTTCTCTTCATCAGGTCAATAGCTTTCTCTAGGATCCAGTCTGAGTACGGTGCCCAGCTTCCTCCATCTTCACTTGCGTGCAGAGATTTCTCCATCTCCTGCTTCCATTCTGGTTGCTTGGTCCCCCGTCTCAGGGTCACCTTTCTTGATTCCTTTCCCCACTCACTTTTCTTTCCAACGCCCATCGACCAGCGAGGCTTGTGGTCCTGTGTCTCCACCACTTCTTCTCCTGAGGAATCTGGCCTCTCGGATTCCAACATCTGGCAAGGTTCCAACTGGGTCAGCGGCTCTCTTTCCAGGGAGTTTTCCCCCTCTCTTGCTTCGTTGTCTGACATGGTAAATTTTTGCAAAATCCCCCGGCAAGGGTCTCCCTTCCAGGTGGATTAATTTTGCAAGTCCTGTCTAATGTAAGGACCCACCCCACTTTGCATCTTAAGAAGACAGAACTCTTGGAATAATTCTTCCAACAGGAATCCTTTATTAAGAGAAGTGGTTGCAGGCATGCTAGACAGGACTTGGGGTTCAAGCTCTTCCATTCAAGGTTTTAAGGGGTTCCCCAGTAGTCCCACCCAATCAACCCCCCTTCCAGTGATAGTTTCAAGTATCACAATTCCACCCCTTTTCTTCTTTCTTCCGTCTGGATGGAGACTTCAGATAACTACATGAAAGGCAAATACTCTCCTTTGGTATGCTAACACTTCGAGGTTACAATAAACACACATTCAACATTCAGCCCTTTGAAGTGTACTGAAGGAAGTGAGGGCCATAAAGCCCCTTTGTTCTCCCCCTTCTCTCCCTCTTATGGCAGAATCCAGAGATGGCAGAATTGGGAGTTTCTATATTTGATAATTAAAGATGAAATATAATTGGATTCTGACACTGAGGAAGAAATTATGCCAGACCTCTTTCTTATTTGAACCAAGAAGTTGCTCTGACTCAAACATGATTGAACAAAGTATGTAACTAGTGAAAAGAAGTTTAATGGGCAATGATTGTTAGTATTACGCTTCTAACAAGATATTTTTATTTCCACAGATTGCCTGCCAAGCTTTAATATTTTTGGGAAGTACAAGAGAACGATTTAAAGAGCTTGGAGCTGAAAAAAAAGGAGAATGGTAAATATTTTAAAAAATAACCAGAAGATAGTGTAGATTTATCTTTACCTGCTATCAGATTTAGAAGTAGTGCAAAAATATTTGTCTGCAAACTAGCTGTAATTTGCTTTTCCTTCTGCAATCATTTTTAATGGGGACTCTTTTCATGTCCCCAGCAGGAGCTGGAGTGAAGGACAGGAGCTCAACCCTGCCCCAAGCAGCACCCAGCTCTCAAACACGGGCTTGCTAACCTAGCATCCTAACCACATGAGCCACTGTGCTCCTCTTGTTCAGTCCATGTGCTCCTCTTGTTCAGTCCATGTAAAAATATAATGTGCAATCTAATGTGGATTTTATCTCCTGCTATACTAATTTCTAATCTTATGAAAATGTAAATAATTGTTTCCTCACTTTCACAGAGAAAAACTTGAAAAATGGCATGTATGCTCTTTTAAGCAAGGTGACCAACTTTTTTTCAATGAGAAGGAGGACACAATAAATTGAAGAAAAAATATTGTAAATAAAACATTTTATTCATTGCAACAATACAGAATACAGTATAATTTGATAAATGCATAATAAAAAACATTTGTAACAAAAACGTTTTATATTGTAATTATGCTTACATGCCTATTAATTATTATTTAAATGAGTACAAAAGAAGGACTGTTCTCCCTAAAGGAGGACGATTGGTCACCTTATTTTAAGATTTCTGTCATAGGTTGTATGTTCTTGATATAACTACCTTAGGAAAAGCAATGTTACTCTTTTCATCCACAGTTGTAGTTGTTTATCACCACAGTGCAGTCAGTTTTCCTTAAAATTTCCTTTCAGCTTCCTGTCTTTTGACACTGAAGTTGAATGTGCTAAAAATCATGAAAACTGACTACATGTCCCATGCTGTGATTTTTTTGGCCTCCTGCCTATGGTAGCATAGCACCACAGGCTGTGAATTAATGAAAGAATAGAATTACTTTTGACTTCTCACCAAATTTAATAGCAAGATCTCAAACATCTGTGTCTAAAGGTCTTGGCCATACCAAATCTGCAGCTGTTCAGTGGAAATCTGCTGAAATAAAATGATGAGAAATACAATATCAGAACCAAGATTCCTAATCTCTTTTCCCCAGCAACTGTACGGGTGGAACTTTAAATGAATCATATTCTTCATGTGTCCATGCTGTAACATGACATTTGTCAGAAAGATTAACACTGAAACTCTGTATGTATTGATCATAACTTTTTCACAGTTATTCTTTGAGATAATACTTGTAAAAATGTGACAGGTCATTTGGAGAAACATGGTTGTCTATATATATAATTAGAAAAATTAGTTCAGCATATCTAGTAGTTAAAAAGTATGCATTGGACATAGGAAAGTACTATCAATAGCTATCAGTACAGTATTTGAAAAAGAATCACATATCTCACAGTTTGAAGTGAGATGCCAAAATCTGTGGTGATCAGAATAATGTTTTATGATATATTGCTGACACTGTAAACACTTTCTGTTTGGACTTGGCCATAATCGGTCTGTTATAGGACCAGTTAAAGGGATATAGTTCAGTTTTTTAAAAAAAAACACAATATCAGATTAGAATTTAGAGCAGGGGTCTTCAAACATGGCCCCACGCCTGGCTGAGGAATTCTGGGAGTTGAAGTCCACAAGTCATAAAAGGGCCAAATTTGAAGACCCCTGATTTAGAGAGCTGGTGCTGCTGGCAGTGTCTGAGTTAGCAAACTTCATCTGATTAAGACTTTGTATTAGGATCTGTTGATACTTTGAACTACTATTTTATATTTTCCCTGGTTTCTAGTTAGTAATGAGCTTTTATAACTAGGTGAACTGTTGCTAGTATTTCTTGAGTTTGTTGCACAGTTTGTTGCACAGTTAAATAAATGAGAAGGTGAAATAATACATGTTAAAAAAATTTAATTCTCTTGCTGTGAATCATCATATTTATCAGGGCTATAAGGCAAAGGAAACCACTTAAAAATCTAGATAAGTTGCACTATTTTAGCAGTTGCTTAAAAATGCTTTGCCTTCTGTTTACACATAATCCTATTTCCTTCCTCCATACTGTTTTCAAATATCAAAATATAGCCCATTCTCGAGATGGGGCAATGACCCAGAAATAATAATAATTATTTTAATATTTTGGTACCTCACAGAGCAAGCTTAAGTTTAGATTGGAGTGCTCTGACATGTACAATTACACTGCTGGCCTGCATAACAAAAATAAGGACAAAGAGATATTTGTCCTCTCCATGTTTCATGTAATTGTTTCTTTGTATACTTTTGGACAAAGCTACTCTCTGGTGCAAGGAGTGACAAGGGACAGAGAGCAAAGAGCTCATATATATTCCAACTCAGTTCAGGGACATGGTAGCTAACCAGAGGGAGCTTTGGATTCATTAGAACAGTGTTTCTCAATCTCAGCACCTTTAAGAGATGTGGTTTTCAAGTCCCAAAATTCCCCACACAGAAGAAACTATTAAATTCTAAGCTATTTTAGCCAGACCCGGCTCTAGGAACTTGTCTAGAAGCTTTCTGGCGACTGAAATTTCCTGACCTCAGAAAAAAAGCTAATCTCACCACTGATACGGGAAAAAGATCTGATACCATGTTTCTTCTTCCAAGGATAGCATTTGCTTTTTGACCACAAAGGCAGACACCAATGTATTTAATGGTCCCTGTATGCCACCCTGTACTGGGACCATACTTCTTTTGCTCATGATATATGCATCTTGTTCTTTAATGCAAACTTTATTAAGGTAAATTTACATTTCTGACATCTTGTGTTGTCATGTTTGAGTAGAATCTAAACCATGCATGAGTCCAAGAAATATTTCAAAATGTCCTTGTGTGCTGGTCATTATGAAACGTAATGTTATACCATTTCTTCAAACCATTCCAAATTAATAATTATATCACTTCTGATTTTCGTTTTAACCCCTTCCAGATACTTCGCACAAATAGGAGTTTCTACCAACAGATGTACGGCTATAACTCTAATGAAACATTGGTTAGAAACTTCATGACAGGCACATTGGAAGCTGGGCGAGCACAGGTTTATTCATAATTCTGGAGTCAAGTAGATGTCATTTGTATCGCTCCCAATTTCTGTTTTTATGAGATGTATGGTTTTTGTAATTTTACTGTAGTTATGAATTGCTTAAAGTTGTGCTAAAACATGATTAGCCCAGCAGATAGACTGATTTCAGTATGAGAGTCCTAAAAAGCTATTTCTCAATTCTGCTGAAATCAATTGGACTTAACTTTGGCTAGAACAAATTATCCTCACCTAAAGCATGTAGTGTATTAAATAATAAAGAACAAATCAGATATTGTTCAGACACTGGTGGAGATTTATGACATTCTGCTTTGATTATGTAACATTAGCAAACATTCTATTTACTATACTAAAATAATCAAAACGTATTTAAATAAACTAACAGTATTCGTTTTGACCTTCAGCCTCCTATGTAAGAGCAAAGATTGTTTCTTTCTAATTAACAGGCATAAATATGCCACTTGGCATAACTGTTAAATATTCTGTGCCATATAGCATTCCTGTTTTCAATTTAGGTCAAACTATCAGGATGATGAAAAGAATCGAAGATGGAAGATGAGATGCTCTATTTCACATATACGCCCTCTGGAAGGGCTGGCAAAGGCAACCACTTAAATTAAGCTCAGGTCATCAGACAAGATATTTAATCTATTCCTAAGACAGACAACTTCTACAGCTAAAATCCCTATGGCCTTTAAAGCAACACAATGAACTACTTTGTCGTGTACTCCTGTCAAGTCACGTTAGGCTCCTTGGTTTTTAGAAGTGATATTTCATGTACTCTTATGAGCAAATTGCTCAGAGCAAGAAAAAGTGTTTTGGTTTATTTATGACCTACTAACCTTAAATAAAGAAAAAGAAGAAGTTTCAGCCTATGTGAATGTTCTCAGAAGCCTGGAGATATGAAACGTACATAAAATAAATCTGGCATTTGTAGCACAGAGTAGCAAAAGGCACACATGGCCAATCCACGGGGTTTCTTTAAAAAAAAGAAGATGGAAACCAGATGATGGAAGAAGAAGAAGGGGTGAAAGTCACTCTTAACCAATACGTAATATTGGTTTAGAAGAAAGCAGAGAGTTTCAGATTGTATTCAAGGTGAGAAGTAAACAGAAGAATGGATGGTAATACTGAGCTTTCAAATATGTTATTAGTAAAAAGAAATGGAAATGAAAAGCAGCCAGCTCTATTGTTAGGAAAAACAATCTCAAGAATGACAACTAAGGAACTCATTTGCCTGATTGATATCATGGAAGTAAAATAATAAACTGGGGAAGGGAGAAACTATAGGAAGAAGAAAATAAGAATAAATGTATAGAAAGGAAGAATATAATAGCAATAGCACATGGACTTCATCTATACAGCTTTACTGCTCTCTCTGAGTAGTTTATAAATGTCAGTCATGAATCAGGATCTATTCATGTGGCTCTTGGTGAATAATGCAGACACATTTTAAAAGCCTACACATAATAATAAAAGTTTTGTCTGTTTCTTTAGCTGATTTACGTAGTCTTGGTAGTAACCAGAGCAAGAGAGAAAAAATAATCGGGAACTCTCCCTAGTCTCTTAGTGAAGGCAATACTATTTTGTTTCATTTTGGATAAGGAACCAAAAATAACCTATTTTTCATTGGACATTTTAAAGAAAATGGACAGGAAAAGGCAGGAAATAAAATTATTACAAATTATTCAAAAACCAAGTATTTTAAAATGTAGAGCCTATTGGTAACTATTTGTAAAGTTTAAATGCATTGTATATAGTGCATCATTCTTAAACTGCTGACATAAGTAACTGAATAAAATTCTACTTTGTGAGTTCAATCCATATTACTAAGAATTTGTTTTGATTCATATAGCTCATAACATTGAAATATAAATTCTGTACAAAGATAAACTCAAATTTTGGATATGATACCATTATAGTACATATATGGATGGTTTCCAGATTGAATTTAAATCTGTGTCAAATTCACAATTATTTTAGACATCAAAGCATACTCCCAGATATTGACTAAGCATTCTTCCATTGAAGGGATCAGGTGACCTTTCCAGAAAGAGCAGTGTAATGTCCTTGCAACAATTATATGCTAATTCGGTATACTCAAGAAGAAAAATGTTTTGGTAAAGTTTATGAAGTATTCATAGGTTGAAACGAGAATTCAGTTGTTAAGATTTGTTTCATTCTAGCCTAAATCGTTTATAGAATTATTGAACTTTATGATTGCATGAAAGAATGAATGTCAGGAGGCAAGCCCGTTGCCTTCAAATTTGCATTTGCCTTAGGTATAATTAGGCAATAATAATAATACTGTCATATATTAATTGCAAAAATGTATATACAAGAATAAATGCATGAGTATTACAAGAGTTACAGATGTCAATTTGGAGCCAGTATTGTAACAGTTGTGTCATTTTTTTAAGTCATGGATGATACTTATAATTTTGATTTTACTTTTGATTTATTTTATTTTAATAGACACATTGTTCTGGTGTAATATTTTTCTTCAGGGATTTATGGATATTTTTCTCTATATTTAAAGTCCTCAGACAGGGAAAGTTTAGAGCATTAAATATAGTACAGCAGTGCTTATGTTGAGAATTCCTCAGTAGATTGATTTGATGAATAAATGTGATGGAAACAGTGATTTTTAAGCAGAATTAATCTACCAAATTGAAAATAATGTCTTTTTTTCCCCTTCTCTTTAGACATTTAAGGATGGATCCTGTGAAGTCTTTGGAATTCTGTTCCTTTTGGTTGCTTCAGTGAACATTCAACGCTGTCGGTGAGTTTGGGATTAAAGTGAAAACCATCGACCGTTGATTGTACCCTCCAGCTAACCATCCTACTCATTGCTTCATACTTTCAGAATTTCATTGAAGACAGCCATAAAGCCAATACCCAAGATGATTGGTTTGTGTCTTCCCTTGCAGAATTTCACTTAGATCTACAAAAAAAGGCCACAATCAACATTCATTGCTGTCGGTGGGTTTAACTTTGTTGACAAGCTCACTGAACAATGAATGCAACTGTGGCCCCACTTTTTGCAGTCATAGCCAAGAAGAATATTACTTTTGAAAGTAGCACCTGAAGTGGATGTCTTTGGCTGAAAGCTTTGGATCAAGAGACTGAGTTACTTTCCAGCTGTGTGCTTAAAATACTTGCTTCTGTTTATGTTTGCTTGTCTGATGAAGTTAGGGAGTCAGGAAATACAAAATGCTATCCGTGGCATTTCAATTAGGATATAACACAAAAATATGTTCTTTTTCTCTACTCATTGTTAGCTGGATTACAGGTCCTCAAGCAAAAATAAACATATCAAATTGAGGGATAAAACGAACTTATCCAACTTTGGTTTGATTAAACCCAGTAAGTTTTATAGAACAAATGATTATTGCTAAAATCAGCTTTTCATTCTTCTGCATCAAAATACATACCTGATCCCTATATTTCCTAGCTTTGTTACATGTCCAAAATGAAAAAATATTCCCTCAGATAACAGAACAGAACATAATAGAATAGAATAGGACCTTAGAGGTCTTCTAGTCCAGCCTGCTGCTCAAGCAGGAGAACCTATACCATCTCAGACAGGTGATTGTCTAGTCTCTTCTTAAAAATCTCCAGCAATAGAGCACCCACGACCTCTGGAGGCAAGTTGCTCCACTGGTCAACTGTCTTCACTGTCAGGAAGTCTCTCCTCAATTCCAGGTTGCTCCTCTCCTCGATCATTTCCAACCATTGTTTCCCTCTGGTGCTCTGGTGAACAAAGTGAGCCTCTCTTCCCTGTGGCAGCTCCTCAGATACTGGAACACTGCTATCATGTCTCCTCCATCTCTTCTCCTCTTTAGACTAACCAAGTCCCGCAGCTGTTCCTCATTTGTTCTAGTCTCCAGGGCCTTGATCATCTTAGTTGCTCCTATGTACCCTCTCCAAACTCAACATCTCTTTTGTGACATGGTGACCAAAATTGTCTGCAGCATTCCCACCAGAGTTCCACAAAGCAGCACCAACACCCAATCCGTACCTGTACCCCCAATCTTTCCTGCCTAAATGTAAAACCTTGTTTTCTCCACACCAAAATCTGTTGGACAGGGCCTATTGTTCAAGCCCATCCAGATTCCCTTGGATCCTGAGTTTGTCCCCTGGGGTGCCGGCCATTCCTGTCAGTTTGGTGTCATCTGCAAACCCAATGAATTCCCCTTCAATTCCCCCATCCAAGTCATTGATGAAGATATTGAAAAGTACTGGGCCTAAGATGGAACCTTGTGGCATCCCACTGTCCACTGCTCTTTATGTGGATGCAGTGCCACTGAGAACCACTGAGGATTAGTTTCCATCCATTGCTTCTTGTCCTGCCCTCAGGACAAGCTTTGGAAAATAGCTTGACTCCCTCTTTGTGGCAAGCCCTGGGATATTTATTGGAACACTGCTATCATGTCACCCCTAGACCTTCTTTTCATTCATTCATTGGGTAATGAAGCATCTGCAAGAAAATAATAAGTTTCAAAATTTGGTAATCCTAGCCCCGCCCCCTCTTTAGCATCCTGCAGGAGTTTATATTTAATTCTCAGTTTCTAAACTAATTTAGAAATACTTTTTTGCCATTGCTTAAAAAGATACATCAGTTGTCAATATGGGTATTGTCTGGAATAAAAATAGTATTCTAGTAAAGCATTCATTTTAATCATGGAAATTCTTCCCAACCATGACAGTTATAACTTTTCCCTTTTCACCATGTCTTTTTTAACTTTATTCCATAATTCAGCATAGTTATTTTGAAACAACATGCAACACATATTAGTCAAAGAAGCCCCCAAGTATTTAATTTTTTCTTCATTTTAAAGCCAGATTTCTTCATCAAAGCAGCGTGATCTTGTGTTATTACACTTTTAACCAACTTCCTTGTTTTCTGCTTATTAATCTTTGAATCTGCTAACATGCCAAAATCTTTCAATTTATTTCATTGAATGATACTGATTTTCAGAAGCCCCTTTCAGTTAGGATTTTAGCCAGAATATAGTGCTGAGACTGGCTTGAACATCTTGGTGAACTAAGATAATGAACATGGGATCTTTAGTATGCATAATGAGTATTCAGCCTTATGGTAAAGCCCTCTGATTGGGACAGACGTGCACAGATGAGTTCTGAAAAAACAGAAAGGAAGATATATAGTATCTTGGAGTTTTGAAATCCCCCTATTCCACTCTGACAAAAGATTATTTAAATTTTGTTCTATAATTACATCCTTTTTGCAATTCACAGATCAATTTACATGTACTAGGCATCAAAAGTTTGCATCTGCATATTTTATTCTAATTTCTATTGAATATTTTGTTTCAATAATATATATTCCTCATTTTCCAACAGCTAATTTATTTTTCATTACAGTATTGACAACAATATACACTTGCCAAAAGATTTTTTTTCTTAAAATCCTATGAGATCTTTTCATTTTTGTAAGATTCAAAGCACTACTTTCCAAGTGAATATGACAAATTAGCACACGAGATAGTTAATTTCAGAACATAAGACATATGATTTTAATTACCACAAAATAACCTACTGTACACTGATGCAGTTGCAATTACTTTGAATTATCTCTTTTTTGTCATAGTAAAGGAATCAAAGGCAGACACTGAGACATCTTAAGAAAAGGAATATTTGCATAGCTACAGTAAGTGAATGTTAGCTAAGTGACTATCAGATTGATATTTGGGAATAGTCAAATTTTTAGAAGGAAAATTTTGGGTATAAAGTTAGTTATGAATTTAAAAATGTGTATTAAAAAAGAATGTGTTTTTTCTTTATTCTGTCATTTTATATGACTGACTACGTATTTAAAATTTTACCCTTTCAAGTTATTTATCTCTCAAGCTACATTGTATTTCCTGCAATATATGATAATGTTAAAATAAAATACTCGTTATTGTGGAACAAAGAAAAGGGACAACCTGTCCTTATGCTGGGGAATGTGTTTACAGTTTCTCAACACAATTTATTTTTCTGCCAGAGGACTCAGCAGCAATTGTCATTTGCACTGCGGGTACTTCAGCAAGGGATGTACGCAGACTAACCGCAGTTCAGAAGACCTTTGGAGAGTTCACATTATCCCTGAAGCAGCAAAAAATATATCCAGAATTAGTGCCAAAAGACAATGCCTGCTTTGGAGCCCTTTCCATTTTGTGCTCGAGGAGGAAGGACACCATTTTGAAATATTTCTATAGATCATTTACAATTTTTTGATAGAGTGCAATAAAATAAATAATTGAGTGATAATGTTCAAAGTATAAAAAAAAAGTTTGAAAAGTAGATCCTGAACAAAAGAGCAGCTATTGAATTTCAGCTTAAACTCCAAGGTAAGTTTGTGGCATTTAAACTCACGGTTCCATAGTAATGTCAGAATAATATAGTAATCCCAGGTTTAGAATCTTTAGAGGAAGTTATGAAAAAGAAATTTGCCACAGGTGTGAATTTTAGCAGAGGTCAGAAGAGATGACAATCCAGGAAATGCTTCTGATTGATACAGCAATATGTGGGAGGCCTGCATATTTTCTTGGCTCTTTGCTCATATGAAATATAAAGGCCACTTCATCCAATACTTCCAAGAAAGCATGAAGAAATCAGATGCTCTAATTGCTTGGCATTAAAATCTGGGGTATATGACCTCTAAACTGGAATTTGCAGGCATTGATAGATCCCTCTATAAATATGGTTATTTTGTTTAAAATGTATCTTAGATACGATTTTCTCCAATTTTTGAATTATGTGGTGTATGAGGAAAAATATAGTCCTGAACCTACCCCTAAAGAGCATTACTGACTATTAGCAAAACTGAGACATTCTGAGAAATGAAAGGCTATTTTTCTTAGTAGAACTTAGAATCACCCATCTAAATCACTACAGTAACATTAGCCATTACATGTCTATGGAGATTCTCAGTCATCCAGGTCATGGTTGTCTCAAAGGTGCTTTTTCAAAGGCAACTTGACTTTCTTGTTTTTCTTTGAAGACGCTTCACTTCTCATCCAAGAAGTCCAGTAACCTATTTTCTACAGTAGTCCACCACATTGCTCTAGAAAACTCATCTGAAAATAACATTCATATTCTCCCAACATTTGATATTCAAAGTATATTGCTACTGAAACATAATAATTTATTGTTCTGGATCTACAGTACATGTGCAGTTAGGGACAACAACTTACTCTGAATCTGAAGTATAAATATTTGCATACTATTTTTTTTATTGAGACGTAATGCAATGGATTGAATGCAGTATTGCAGGCTAACTCTGCCCATAGCCCTCAGTTTGATCTTGGACAACTCTAGGTTGACCCAGCCTTCCTTCCCTCTAAGATTGGTAAAATGAGAACCTAGATTGTTGGGGGCAATATGTTGACATTTGTAAACTGCTCAGAGAATGCTGTAAAGCACAATGAAGCAGTATATAAATCTAAGTGCTATTGCTGTTACTGTTGCTTTTATTTATTGTACTAAGTATATAGTCCCACTTATTAACAGATTCCATTCTTGTATACTAACATTGTTTCTTCATTGCTGTGGTCTTGTTTCAAGCGAGTCATAGGTTCTGCATATTGGACACATTCAAAAGTGTACCATTTGAGCTACCTTGGTTCAAAAATCATTGCTCTATGATGTACTATTTCTGGAAGGGAAAATGCTAGAAAACACCAGTGTTTTCTCTTTGTAAGACTTAAAAACTCCAGAATGGAGGGGGAAATAATAGTGAATGCCAGCATTCTGAAAGGCTCCAAATGTTGGCGCTTGCTAGAATTTTCACTGGATTTCAGGTACATTCCTTCAGTGTGCCAAGGGATTTCTTGGCATGTTAGAGGAAAAGACCTCAACTCTGATGAAAATGCTGGCAAATGTCAGCATTCTCATAGTCATTCTCCCCAGTGGGGCAGGGAGAGGGCCCAGGCCTGCCAGGTGTAGTGGGAGCCCCCGTTTCTCTCCCAGCCCACCATGTCCAAAAGATCCAGATCCTCTCTCAGAGAGTCTTAATGACCTGCATGTCACCTAACAATCACAACTGGTAGAGCTAGGATTGCAGTCATTGAGTGAAGTGGTCACGTGGCATCTTGTTCAATGTCTGCTTCACTCAATGACTAAGATTTTGGGCCTAATTGTGGTTGCAGGTTGAAGACTACATGTGAATCCATTGTATGTATGATACTTGGACAGAAATTCAGCATTTTATCTTTGATTACAGGAACCAGAAAGTAAAATGCAGTTGTGAAAATCATTTTGTCAGGTAAAGTTAAAGGCTAGGTAAGCCATGTTTCTACAAGATAGTAAGGGTGTCTCTTATAAAGAAAGGTTCAATACTTTTAAGTTCAGGAAATTAATTGTGCAAATGAAATTTCTTCCAAATCATACAGAAATCAACGACAACTCTATTACTCTGCCAAGCCATGAAACAGTTCTACAAATCATCACACAAAAAGTTGTTCTTTTCTGCTTGTCTGCCCATGGCAACTCATGCAGATCATCACATTATTCTAGGTTATCTTAACTAACATTCTTATTAGGAGCAAGGAAATGTGTCCATTTAAATGGATAAAGGAAATGTTCA